GAAGCCTGGCGCAGTGGCATTTTAAATGCCAATATGCTGCCGGGCGATCATGTGGGGTAGAACTGGGAGCGGGAGCGGAAGCGCGGCCTCCATCGGCCTGCTTGAGTCGGGAGTGGCTGCAGGCCTTCTGCCAAGGGGCAAGGGAGAGGATTAAGGGCCTGAGCTACTACTGACCGTGGGATTAACCCCTGTGGAAAATTAAAGTTGTAGAGAAGGCTCTTCCCTCCACAGCTGAGAGAAAGAGACAAACTGGGATTTGGATTAGAATTGGCAGGCCTGGTGACAAGCCACCACCCACAGCCAACTGTTCCTGGCTGGATCAGAAAATGTTAGCTCAGGCTCCATGCAGAATCCCCCCTCCACATCTCGCTTGGTTATCGGTTTTTGCCAACAGCATGATAAGAACAAAAACATAACTCTGTGGCAAAAAAGAAAAAAAGAGGAGGAAACTGGGTGAGCAGCTCACGTGTCCGAGCGCCCTCCCGTTCCCTCACCTGCCTCCCTCCTCAGCGGCCTCCATTCCGCTAAATGAAACACGCACGTGGTCTGTCACGTTCGCTAATATTTGGAGAAGATGCTGGCACACACATGTCTGGATTTCTTCCTGTCAACTGCCCCCTCGGCTCTCCTGCGGCTGCTGCTCTGGGCCTCCTCCATATGCTGCGCTCCGGCTGCGCTGGGACTTCCCTGTCGCTGCTCTGCTGGAGATCCCGCTCTCCCCACCCGCCTCAGCAATCTGGGCCTTTCCCGTCCATTCCCCTTTAGGTGCTCTGTGCCTTTCTTGGAGGGTTCACTGAGGCCTGATGTCCTTGCTATGCCGAGCCCCGCTGACCTCTCCCAATCCTCATTACTGTGAGCTGACTGGGGAGCTTGGCTTGGGCTGCAAATATTGTGTCTTGGCTACAGAAAGGGACTGGGAATCAGAGAAACTGGCTTCCCTCCTCCTTTTGCCACATGCTGGCCAGGGATTGAACTTTAGGAAAACCCCATAACTGACCCTGTTGGCACTCCTTTGCTCTGTGCAACTTTGCTAACCCTGACAATAATTTCTGCAGGACAGGAGAACATTTAACAGTCTAAGTGATCGAAGGATGCACTGAGTAGCTTTGAAAATCTGAGCTGGGAACAGATGTAGACTGCCATTGAGGTCTTAAGAGCTGGGCACCTGAAACTTCAGGCAGCCAAACTTAGCAGCCATTTCATCTCCTTCACAGCCTACCCCTCCATAAAATGGAGATAACATTGACCTTTCTTACATGGGTTTGCAGAGGAAAAAATGTTAACACCAATCACACTTGCATTTCAGAGTAATCTATGCATTAACATTTCTGCAGATCCGCAGCTTTCTGCCCAATGCACATCCTAGAGAACAGGGTGAGGTTATAATTTGCGGCTAGTCAGGAACGTGGCAGGTCCCACAGCCACAGCCCCCTTACCATACCAAGTGGGTTTCATATGCTCTCTACTTACTTTGCAGCTTGCTCTGTGAGGTGTTTTGCTTAGCTGCGATCGATCACTGCAAGTCAGATGGCACCATTTCTTCTGCAGCTAGTGTGAATTTAAAATGTGCTTTCCATTGACTGTGGCAGTGCAACACTAATGAATCCTGAACACGTGCTAATAAATCAGCAAGTGCTGGAAATGGAGCCCCCAGCTATTTAGCGTATAACCTCACTGGGGCAGCGACACATGCTCTATGTTTCTACAGCGCTGCTGAGCTTGGCTGCCAGCTCTGGGTGCTTTTGCAATACAAATAAACAACTGAGGAGGAGCCGCAATGAGACAAGGAGCTTAAACCTGGACTCGTGTGGTCAGTAATTTGCTTGACTGACCTAGGTCTGTCAGGGAAGCCAGAACAGGTATCATATCCACGCCACCTAAATTCACTCTGGTAGTATCAGAAGAGGGGCAGCTGCTGCTAGGACAACTCAACCAGATTATGTAATGAACTTCCAATTCTGAGCTTATACGTCTCCCTTTGTGTGCAGCATCGTGCCCTCCAAGGGCTGATGAAGGAACAAGACACAGAGCGTTTTAATCACTGGACTCTGGGGTCCTACTGTCCTCCTCCACTGTGGGTGAGGCCAATAAAACAAGAATCTCAGAAACAACAGCTTCCCCAAGGAAAGTGGGGGGAAAAAAAAGATAATCTCCTTAAAGTATCCTCCATGCCCTCCCTCACGCTGTTGGCTTTCTGATAAAGGCTAAAGCAGTTTAGCACTGGAAAGGGACTTTCCTCATCAAGGAGAGTGTGTGGGTGGGACGAATGCCTCCTGTAAGTTCATTACTGGCATCTGCTGTAGCCTCTGCTACCTACCCCTCATAATATAGGTCACCCTCACGCCCTGACTTTGGCAGCCAGGCCATTAAAGGAGTCTGATCCTGGAGCCTGGATCCTGGAGCTAAGGGTTAGTGCAATGATCAGAGACAGGGGGCTGGAGTCTGCTGCTGACTGTGCCTCACACTAGTGACATTCTGGGAGAGTCGCCTGTCTCTATAGCCTCAGTGTCCCTGTGTGGAAAACGAGATAATTCTACTCGCCTCCCTAGCGCAGAGGAAGAACTGGCTAAGGTCTGAAGCCTATTTCACTCTGTGCTGAGCATTCATGGTACCTAGTGGAAAGACAGGCAGCTTTTCTAGAAACCATGGCCCACAGGTTATTAAACATATAGCATTAACAACGACAACACATACAACCATGGAAAGAGCCATTTGTAAAGCAGATGGAAAGCTTTGGATAGAAGGTCCCTCAGAACTGGGAAGTGTTACTAGAACAGTGTCGGGATGCAGTAAACAGAGTCCCCTCACCACCTTCTCAGCATGATCCTTGTGACCCTGCTTACGAAAGCTAAGGTTTTACCACGACACTGTGAACACCGCTGGTGTCTGGAGAGGGAGAAGGGAAGCACAAGACAGCGACAGCATCTGCTGTAGCTTTTATGTGCTGGCAAGTCCTGCAAAGTCATTGCAATTAATGCATCCCCCCCCGCCTACCCGTCAGTAAAGCTCCCTGTTTAAGCTAATGAGGGGAATCCTCATTACAGAGTCCTCTGGGGGGCCTGACAGCAGGTCAAATGCCCAAGTGGCACTTTAGCTTAGTGTATTTCTGGCCACTGGAGCCCACAGCCAGAAATGGATGGCTTCCTTCTGTTGCTCTGAGCTGAAACAACAACAAAAATGCCTTCTGCTGTCCTGTATCAAAGGGCAAGAAGAAAAGGCCAGCATCAGCCCCACAGGCTATTCTGTTCATATCTCCATAATCTGGAAAAGATATTAAACTTCAAGCATCTGGAAGAAAGCTTTGGACATCATGCCCCACGGATCATAGGGCATGTGCCTCACATGTTCCAGGAAGAGGGAAACATGCAGCAAGCCCACAAGACACGTAGACGCCAGATTTTTGGAGCCTGTGATGACTTCAGAGCCCTAGAGCTCCAGCAGTGGAGATCAGCTGGAAACTGGCAAGCCCATCAGTCCCATGCTAAGACATGAACAGACATCATGGGCCTCTCTGGGCTGGGGACATCCGTGAGGTGCTGCCAGGCCTGGCAGAGCCCTTGCTACAGGGTACAGCCCAGGCTGTCAGGCTGAGAGCAGCCAGGGCAGCACTCGTGATGCTCTAGAGAGCCCCGAGGTGCAGGCGCACACTGGCCGCCCCAGGACTACAGGCTTCCCGGTGCTGGGTTTGCAGGGAGCGCAGCTGGCTCTGTGGAGCAGAAGGCACCTCAGGCCGAAGCAAAACACCTAATGAAGTCAGAGCTCAGGGAAGCCTTTCGAAGGAAGTTGTCAAAAACCCTCTCTGCTTCCTTACTCTCTTCTGGCTGCAGGATGTTATTCACTAGTGGCATTGGTCTAACCGATTTACGGGCAATATGTACATGGGAGAAACTGTTCTTTCTGGATCCTTGGACTTAAAATTTCTTTATAAACATATTATTTCAAGCTTTCACTTCAGCAGCCAGCAACCTCTACCTACAGCAAAGCTGATGTTCTGCCACGGAAGCATACGTTATGCTTGTGGCCATTGGCAGCCTTGAGCAAGACATGTAGTGGCTAGACATGGCTCATGGGAGAATGCCAAGCACATGAATGAGTCCACCTCGGTGCATACGCTTGCAAATGCGAGCTGGATTTGTGCCTGTATCTGCATACGTACATGCTGCCTTTCAGATTTAGGCAGATGTGTATGCACAATCGTGTAGCTGCTGTGTATGAGGTGAGGAGCACTGTGTATTTGTAACATGCTTTTAAAATAATCATGGGTTTATCAAGGTGCCTCCATCTTTGTGCGTGTTGCCATGCAGGAGGCAGCATTAAAGCCCAAACAGGTGTTAATCACTATGCACTGTAATAAATTCTAAACATCTTTATGCACATCTGCTCCTCCCACCCTGCTCTGTGCTCAAGCCTTGCCACTGCCTCCTGGGACGAGGCGCCTGCGAGGTACCAGGAAGGGGTGCTGGACCTTTCCTGCTGGAGCAGAAGGGATGAGGGGTAGCACAACCCTGACTCCTGCACCGCATCCTTGTCCCTGGGTATGCCGGTGCTGCCCTCAGCCCCTGCTCTCCCTGGTGGATGGCACAGCAGAATTACACGGAATAGACAGCAGGGGAAAACACCCGCCCATGGACTTAACGGGGGCTTGGGTGAGGAGAGGTCGGAGAAGGAAGTGGTGTCAAAAAGAATTTTTTTTGTTTGTTTTCTTTTTTTTCAGGCTTAGCCCCCTTGATTGGAGCTGAGCCAGCTGATACAGACGGGGTGTTACAAAACAGAGCCAAAAGGCAAGAGCGTAAGGAACAGAGCTATCTATAACCCAAAGTTAGACGGAGTGAAGGTGGCGAAGAGGGAAATGCAAAGCGTGGCAGGCAGCCCCTAATGCTGAAAGCAAGGACACGATCATTCGGCAACAGGATTTAGAACTGATCAACTCCAGCTACCCGGCAGCCAGATAAGGCTCTGTGGCTGTCAGCTTAACTCTGCCGTTTATTCCTGTGCTGTAGGGAGTTAAATAGAGCACACGGAAAGCTGGCTGCTGGGGAGTGAAAGTCAAGGAGGGAGAGGGAAGGCACAGACTGTAATTGGACAGTGCCTGGGAGTCGGGTGGAAGTGGCTGCGGGCAAAGCCCCTCCAGGTAAGTGCTCGCGGCTTTTCATCGTCCTTGTCGATCTGAGAGACGGCGGCAGCAGGCTTAGGGTGGCATTTAGGGCAGAGTCATGGATACGGAGGAGGCTGAAAGTCTCCTTCCCCGCCAGAGCGAATGGGGACAGCGATTTGTTGAGGCTTCTCCTCCGGCAGGGACGGCAGGCGAGGCTCTGTTCGGGCAGCGGGGGGCTGCAGCAGGGAAAGGCTGGAGTTGTTTTGGTGCCGGGCAAGGTATTCACCTGTCTGCTGCATCGGCATTTGGATAGATAATCTAAACAGCTTGGCAAAATGTGCAAGCCCAGGCAGGGAAGCTGCCTGTCTTTCTCACCAAGATGCTAATTTCAATATGACCTGGTGATTTACACGCTGGTATAAAATAAATCCATCCTGGGAGCTTGGGGGAGGGTGGCACGTGCCCGGGGAGAGCGCCCAGCGGGCGTGCAGTGCCCACTGAACGTACAGGCTAGGGACGCTGCCACAGCCCCACGGCGGGGATGCAGGATGGCGTATTTCTGTACTCGGGTGGAAATGTCCATCTAACTGCTACCGTAGCTCTGCATGGCACATCAGAGAGCAAGCAGGGGGACAGGATGGTCTGTGGTGTTTCCCCTTTTCCTGCTTCCCTCTCTTCAAGTGGGAAGAGGGAGGGAAGGAGGGACCTGTTGTCAGTCACTTATTGTCAGGGGAGAGTTTATGGTCTTTGGGTTTCTAATTAGACCGAGCATTTTGCCGGCTTCTAATTAAGATGGGATTCCTGTCTTCTCAACACACCCACTCAGCCTCCGCCGCCCCAGGTCCAACCTTGCTCTCCGAGGCTCCCTTGCTCTTGAGTTGCTGCCGGTGCTGCCGTGCGAGCCCCCCAGGCTGAACGGTGCTCTGCTCGGCCCTGCTCTAACACCGCGTCAGGAGGACAGCCCTGCTGGGGAGTGCGGGGGGAGCCACCGGCAGCCACTAGAGCCCACACTGAGGTGAGCCCAGGCCATGTGGCCCAGAGCAGGGCGCACAGGTGGCACTAGCCTGTGTGAGCAGGAAGGGACGAGCTGGAGACTGTTGCCCTCGCAGGGTCACCTCAGCGATTCATTAGGTTGACCTTGAAGGTGAAGCTCATGAAGCTGCCATGGCGGGCTACTCAAGTGCATTTTGGCACATATGAGAATGAGGCCTTAATTCTTAACCAAGAGGATCAAAATGAATTAAGATCTTGCTCTAGCTCTTGAAATATGCCCCATCTCCCCTCCAAAAGGAGGCTCATGCCTCAAAGGCAAAACACCATGGTGGGGAAGGGAATGAAAACCTTGGGGCCAGCCCTGCCTCCCACGCCCAGGGGACTGAATGCCACCCATTCTACTTGGCTCTTCTCCTCCAGGCTCCGACAGGCAGGCTGCAAGGTGGCTCCTCCAGCCTGCGGGGCCGTGCGCCAGGCTGGCTGGTGGATGTGAAGACACGCTGGAGAAGACAACGATGCTGCCCATGAGTGCTGGCCACCGGTGGAGGAGCAGCTTCCCCATGAGGTGGCGAGAGGCTTGCCGTAAGTAATACCTACTCAGGTGCTAAATACCATGCTCCTGTTTCGCAAGGGAGTGGAAAGAAAATAGGTCATGTCAGGGTTAAGAATGGGGGAGAGGGACAGCTAAGAATGGAGATGTTTGAACTAATTCCTGATTCCTTTAGAGGCCAGGCTAGCTGGGAGGGAGAGCGAGACTCTAGAGCTGAAGATGGGCTTAAAGTGGGACAGTTAGCAGTGATTGCTTCTAGTGGGCCTGACAGGTGAGAAATGATGAGAAAGGCACCACTGCACAAAGATCCACCCCAAACCCTTCTCTGATCAGCACCCTGTAAGCAGCAGACTCCTCTCTGTGGTCTTAGAGGTTCATACCTACGTTACTTCTCATGGCAGGAGAAATCATGACAGATTTTAGAAGTGAATGCAAGACAGGAACGCAGAATACTCCTACTAGGCACTGCCATATGTAGCAAAAATCCAAGAGTAAATAAAGAAGACATCCTTTAAATTAAAACATAAAAGTTTGTTTCCCCAGTGGACCAGAGCATCTGCTGTAGAAGCCCTGACTGCAGAGCGCAGACGACCAGGCTGCTGCAGGGCATTGGGGAATGCACCTGCACCTCAGAAAAACGTCTGAGAATCACAGCAGAGGAAAGGGAGCCCTTGGAGAGCACCCACCACTCCTGCATGCCCAGGCAGCCAAGCAGACTCATGGGTTCCCTTACTCTTGCCCTCCTGATGAAATTTGGGACTAGCACTACCAAGAAGCTAGGAGAATTATTTCCTTCCCCAGAAAAAAAAAAAAAAAGGCATTTTTGTAATCCCCCCTCACAGACTAGACTGCTGTAAAAATTATTTACAATGAATGCTGCTGAGTCTTGACTTAATCTGATATTCCTGTATCAGTTTTCTGCCACCTACTAGAGTCACCAAACACCCTACAAAGTAACTTCATCTTCCCCTCACAGAACAACACACACTGCTCATCCTCTGGCAGTATTTCCTTCCCCAGAAAAAAAAAAAAAGGCATCTTTGTAATCTACCCTCACAGACTAGACTGCTGTATAAATTATTTACAATGAATGCTGCTGAGTCTTGACTTAATCTGATATTCCTGTATCAGTTTTCTGCCACCTACTAGAGTCACCAAACACCCTACAAAGTAACTTCATCTTCCCCTCACAGAACAACACACACTGCTCATCCTCTGGCAGGGCTGGCAGAGAGCATCAAGTTCTGCCTATTGCTTCCTTGTTTTTATTCCATATATAGTTGCATCCTAACTGGTGAGATGAATTCCTAGGACTCAGATGACATCCTATATGGGGATTCCATCTCTCACAGGGATGGAATATGAAATGAAAACTTCTCCATTCTGTGATTTTAGTAAAATGTTTCCAAGAGCATAAAGATATGGGTATCTGACATCCTATATGGCTGCAGAAACTTGGCACAAACACAGTTTCTGAACTTAACCATAACTAGCTGCCAGTTACAGTGTTCCTACCAGCCAACATCGCCATTTACACTGGTGAAATTCCGCAGATGCTTGGTCAGGGAGCAGGGGTGGGTAGGTATGGTGAGCAATGAGCCCTGAGCAATGCAACCTGTATAGCATTACATGGTCTGTTCTCACCTTTCCTGGTGTACAAAGCAGCTAAGTGTTATCTCCTCATCACAGCTGTCAATCTATTATTAATACTGTACTTTTGTCAAGCATCCAGGAAAAGACAGGGTCGCTTAAGTGACTCACGGCTCCTTCCCTTCCCTCATTCTTTTAATTCTCATGCTACAACAAGGGAGCAATGTATTCTGAATGGAATTTAATATCGCCCAGGCAGACAGTGCCTTCACTGTGCTAGTTCACAGGCTATGATCTGCTTTCATGGCACTGTCTGCTGTTGACCCCAACCTTTGCACAACAGGAAGGCACAGAGGTACTCAGGATAAAGATCTCTCTTACATTTCACTACAACAATACATAATTATTATTAGAAGAGCACATAGATTGGCACTGGCAGGGCCAAGGTAGACCTGAGATCTTGACTGAATGTCAGAAAGAAATTCTTGAAGGAAATGTGAAAGATGTATGAAAGTATAAAACAAACAAACAAATGAAAAAAAAGAGGCACCCTCCAAACGCTTATCCCTTAGTCCTTGAGGAAATCGTATGGCTCAGGGTCCAAATCGTGTATAGCTGTCCTTATGCTGACAGTGAATCAGCCAATTCTCACAAGGGTCATTGGGAACAAAAAGAGACCTCAGGCATGAGGAAGGCAGCATCACTGATAGAAGGCAAGTCAAAAAAAAAAAAAAAAAGAGGAGGGAGGCTATAGGGCTGACTAAAGTAGAGACTGAGTTGTGAGGGGAGAGAGGAAATGCACGACTGACTGCAGAGCTGCTCCAGGCAGAGCTGCTCCAGAACATGGGTCTCTACTAGCTATCTCTCCTGTGATTTTCTTTACAGAATTCTCTTGGGGTTAAGAAATAAAATATCTGTTTACTTTTTTTTTTCAGGAATGCAGGTAGGGCAGGAAAATCTACTTTCCAGTCCAGGAAAGAATGGTGATACAACAAATGCATCCATTTTAGATACCATTCAGCCCTGGAAGACTCTGCCGACCCTAAGTGACTGCCTTCACTGAGCAGAAGAGAAAAATAGAGAGGACAGGGTATGACGTAGAGACAAATCTACTTCAGTTTTACTCAAATGCTCAATCTTGTCACCTTGAAAAATGAGGGAGCTGAACTTGCTTCCCACATTGAAGAAATTCATCTTAATTCCTTTTGTGAAATTAAGATGAAGGATGCAAATGTTTTATACAGTCTGCCTAAACATAACTCCCACACCTCTAAAGACAGGAGGCACAAAGCTTGCCTTCCTGTTGCTGATGCTTCATCGTCACAGAAGGAAGACTTTTAAAGGGCAATGGCTCCCAGTGAGGGTTGACAACTACTGCCCTGACACCACTCACGAGATACGGACAAATGTCTGGAATAACGATCCAGGGCAGCTGCACACAGCACAAATGCTGTTTTGTGGGTTTTCCAACCTTACTTGTGAAACTCTGTAGGAGAAAGGCACTAGCCTTTTTTCTTATACCCTTTTCTTCATCTACCAGCCTGCATTCTTCCCTCATCTCTTCTCTGGAATGGGTGATTTGGGTCACAGGAGATTCTTGTGTGGCTATTGGGGTGGGATTCCAAAACCACTTTGACACCATTATCAAGTAAAGGTATTCAGTGGGCTGGGATCTCTTTGATGCTTTATAATACCTCCCTCAGTCATCCCTCTGCAATGAAATTCAATTCATTAAAAAAGTATCTTACTAAAAGGCTCACAAAAACACATTGTAGATATGGAGAGCAACTGATACTCTGATTTGAAGGTTAATTTGGGCTTGGGTTTGATCCATCATAAGAATCATGATTCAAACTGCAGGAACATAATGATATATGGGTTGTTTTGGTTTGCTTTCTTCTTAAAAGCTTTTCATTAACAAGTTTATTTCTGAAAAAAAAAGAGTGCATCTCTTTAAACATATAGCAGTCTCTTCTCTCTGAATCCTGACTCCCTAGAAGGAGGTGTTCTTCACTGTAGGTGACATCTGCCACCACTCCCTGCTCCACTCTCTTCTGACATGAATTAATGCTCTGGCATCAGGCAGCAAACCCCTCTGGAATACACTGTCCTTACTTCTTTGTGAAAGCAGATATTTATTTGCTTGCTCATAAAAAGAAAAGGCTAAGAAGAAACCCATGCAGGCCAGCAGCAGAAGGGTACAGCTGTGAGGCAGCTCATTTCACTGCAGGGCCCTGCAGTGAAGAGCCCCGCTGCGATGGTCAGGCTGCAGCTGTAGCTGTGCTCACGGTGGGGACGATGAGGAGGGGAAGTGCTGCGCTAACATGTTTTCTCTCCCCAACCCTCTGCTTTTCAACCACCAGTGCTTGGCTGCTGGCTGTCACTATGTGCTGCAGAGTCCTTCTTCGCTTGTCCTTCCTCCTGCAAGTGTAACAGTGGCAATCTGGAAGTGGACTGCAGCGGCTTGGGCCTCTCTTCCATCCCCTCAGACATCCCCACAAACACCCGGACCTTCCTTTTTCTCAACAACAAACTCAGCATCCTCCCAGGACCGGTCTTTTCCAACCTCTCAGCCCTGCAAAGGCTGGACCTATCTAACAACTTCTTGGACCAGCTCCCTCAGAACATCTTCAGCGACCTGGGGAACCTCACGGAGCTCCAGCTGAGGAACAACAGCATCAGGGCCTTGGACAAGGACCTGCTGCAACACACGGCCCTGCTGCGCCAGCTGGACCTCTCCATCAACGGCCTGGCCCACATACCCTCGGGCATCTTTGATGAGTTGCCCGCTCTCCGCTCCCTCTCGCTCAGGTCTAATCGCCTGCAGAGCCTGGACAGGGTGACCTTTGAGCCTTTAACCAGCCTGCAGCAACTCCAAGTTGGGGATAACCCCTGGGAATGCGACTGCAACCTCCGAGACTTCAAGCACTGGATGGAGTGGTTCTCCTACCGAGGTAGGAGCTTGGGCAGGGTGAACAAAGCACGGTGTGGGAGACTGACTGCTTGTTTTTCAAGGAAAGGCAGTCAGGCAGGGAAGAAACACAGGCAGACAAATCCAGCAGATCAGGCTGACCTAAATTCCACATCTTTGCCAAGAAACAGGAGGGCAGTGCTATAATGCTAAGAGACCACATAGTGCTACTCTAGTGTGATACAGTTAATGCTACTGCCAGGCCTGAGAAGACCCAGGCAATCCCAGATTCCACATTTCCTAGTTTCGTTTCAAATCTCAAAGATTATTCCTTTTTTTTTTTTTGAGAGAGAGGAAGGATCTTTCCTCAAATAACCTTTAAAATTTTGGAATTATGAGTTTGCTTCATCCCTCTGACAAAAGAAAAGGAGAAGCTTTTCAAGCTTCTAAATAAACATCCACTTCTCCTCCTTATGCTACGAGAAGTAAAATCCAGATTTGTCCGTAAAGCATGAGGTTTTCATTCAACAAAACAACCCTAGAAAACAGTGCCACTTAGGAAAATATTATAACTAACACTGTCAAATCCAAACGTTCCAATTACCCAGTCAGGCCCTAAATCAGTTTGACTATAAAATCATTATTTCAAAATGAGCAGTTTTTGACAACTTCTTATTTCCATTTTTTCCTTGAAATATTGGAGGCTAGAAATGTGTAGATGACTTAGCAGGAATTCTGATGGAATAATATGATTATAGGAGCTGAGATTCTATGAAAAATGGCACATTTTACGAGAACGACAACTGAAGGCCTGACCTTCTGCCACTGAAGCCACTGAGTAGGAAAGAGTCTCAAATCAGGTGGATAACAAGAGTCAGCTGTCACATTCCTGCCAATCACATCCATACTGCAAAGAGACCTCTGCTTATGACTAGACTGCAATACCTTGTAATACCTCTTTGCGTGAGCAGAACCAAACAAGTATATGAGTGACACTTTTCCCTTTTGGGCAGTTTACTTTCTTGTTTGACTCTCACATCAAAGCTGATAAAGAGCACACAGAGTTAATTTTGCCTTTTTTTTTCCCTTCCAAAGAAATTGCCCAAACTCGCTGAAGCATTTGTTTCAACATCTGTCGCTGTTTTCACAGAGGGGAGGTGGATTAGTTGTTAAAAGATAGAGCTGTGTGTCTGTTGTTATTTTGAGAAGATAGGTCCTGATCCTATCTTACTGTTTTAATTTCTCCTTTCCTGAAAAGCTTCTATTAACACTTACATAACTCCATAAACAGTGTGAGGTTGACTTAGTAGATGATTTCAGAGGGCTTTCATGTCTTGGCCTGAGAGCTATCTACACAGATATCACGTACCACGAGCTCTACTGCCAAATCAAACCTCAATAGAAGCATCCCAGGCAGGTGCCATGGCTGAAAGCCTGTCATGGAGGGCTAACCCATGCCAAGTGCCTCCCAGTTAGGCAAAGTAACCTTTTGAGGGGACACGGCGTGTGCACCCTCTGCCCCGTCTGCCTGTCTGAAGGCAAGTGCAGCCATTTCTCCCTCCTACCACTTTTTGAGAGGCACAGTGAACTTGGCAGGTATGAGGAGAAAGGGGTGGGGTGGGGACAACAATGCCTCCTCACTTCATCTTACCCTTGAACTCTAGGATCACTCCATGCTGGATCATGTTTCCCTTTCAGGGTGGGAGGAAGCTCTCTGAAATCTCTCTCCACTCAACACAGCATTCACATGTGAGGGGCTAGATTTTACAACACCAGCACCTAACAAAGACAGTCCATCCTTGAGAGCCATAATGCTGCTAAGACTGACTGCTGTAGGCTGTGTTTCAATGCTCCACCATCGCGCTTTAACAGGATGACGCAACTGTAATTCACTCCTATTAATTATCTCTGTTGGGACAGGTGGGAAGATCGACCAGCTGGCATGTACCCTGCCCAAGGAGCTGAAAGGGAAGGACATGCGAATGGTGCCCATGGAGATGTTTAACTACTGCTCGCAGCTGGATGATGAGAACAGCTCTACCGTACTGGACAATATTGGCCCGCCATGCACGAAAGGAAGCACAACTTCTTCCAAATCTAAATCAGGCCCAGAACCAGAGGTGGAGCCCAGTGTGGGATGCCCTCAGAAACAGCGATACAGGCCTGTGAGCGTGCGCCGGGCTATTGGCACTGTGATCATCGCGGGGGTGGTTTGTGGCATTGTGTGCATCATGATGGTGGTGGCAGCAGCTTATGGCTGCATCTATGCATCCCTCATGGCCAAGTACCACCGGGAGCTGAAGAAGAGGCAGCCACTCATGGGCGACACAGAGGGTGAACACGAAGAGCAAAAACAAATCTCCTCTGTGGCATGAAACTCTTCTAGGAAGGCAAGGACAGCAATTAACAAAGGTACCTGAGAGCTGCCAAGCATGGGGTCCTCCTGCAATACATCTTCCCAGACAGACAGACTGTGCTATTGCTCCACTCACCCAAGTAGTGCAACATGCTTCTGGGGGGTCAGGACACCTGGCTCTAACTTCTGTTCTTCTGCCCCAGGCCCCTTTTGTGCCCTTCAATTCTTGGGCCCTTCCAGGCAAATAAAGTAGAGTCAGACCTCGAGTGCTTGCCGTGCCTCATGCCCTTGCACAGAGCTTCCCCCATGTGCCTACTTTGGCAGCCACTGGCACCTTCTGGGAACCCATGCCGTGCCCTCAGCTTCAGGATTGAGTCCTTCTGTGTCCTGTCCAGAGTGCCCTGGAGAGAGAGCAGCTTTGTGAAAGCTCATGAACACCAGGCAAGTGTCCATGCCTTACTGTTAGGGTCACTGCTGTTGTGTGACAGCAACTTGCTCCTCACTCGACAAGTCAGTATGTCCAAGAGTATGTTAGAAGGCACTGAAGGTCTCTAGGGGATGACTACTGTCTGAGGGTATTTCCCTTCTCACTTTCAGAGGTGGAAGGACACCTGCATCACTCCGACACTGCCCAGGAGCACAAAGCTCTCTTTGCTCCTGGCCAAGGACAAGTCTACAAGCTGACATATGTCTCATCCTTTATGGGCACACAGAGACAGAGCCATGCTCCTGTACACACACACACTGAGTCAGTCTGATCTCTACACACACACACACAGGCATAGCTCTGTTCCATACATCCAGGCACTCCATCTGCGCATGCAGAGCCACATGTGCACAAATTTATCTGCCTTGTGCATGCAGGATGAATACATTTAGCCACTCCAACTTATTTTTATTGTAACACTGCATAGCACCTTCTGGTTGGGAGAAAATACCTGAACCCTACCACTGAGGAGCTAACAAAAACATCTCAATAGTCCAGCGCAGGGCTACAAGGATGATCAGGGGCCTGGAACATCTGCCCTATGAGGAAAGACTGAGGGAGCTGGGCATGTTCAGCCTGGAGAAGAGAAGGCTGAGAGGGGATCTAATCAGTGTCTATAAGTACCTCAAGGGAGGGAGTGCGTAGGATGGGGCTGGCCTCTTTTCAGTGGTGGCCACCAACAGAACTAGAGGAAACGGCTGGAAACTGAAGCACCAAAAGTTCCACAGGAACTTAAGGAAAAATTCCTTAGCAGTGAGGGTGACAGAGCACTGGAACAGGCTGCCCAGAGAGGTTGTGGAGTCTCCTTCTCTGGAGATCTTCAAAACCCGCTTGGATGCAGCCCTGTGCCCCGTGCTCTAGGTGACCCTGCGTGTGCAGGGGGGTTGGACTAGATGACCTCTAGAGGTCCCTTCCAACCTTAACCATTCTGCGATTCTATGATTCTATGAATACTGCAGAGCTAGTGGGGGAAGGGGCAGGAGAGGATAGAGAAAGGCATAATTATTAAGGTTATAGCATGAATCAGCAAAGATGAGCATAGAGCATGAAAAAAGGTGTTTTTTTGTCATCTATTTTATGTTTCCTGTGATTAATGGAGGGGGAGAATGATACAAAGGCTCCGTGTCCAAGTGTCTGAAGGGCAGAGAGGAGAAGCGGTCATCAGGGAGGACATAAAGGAGAAGGTGGCTCAGCAGCCTGGGTAGTGCAAGCCATGCTGAGGGGTGGTGCGGCCTCAGGGAGAAGCACTGGAGGGGGAGAAGACAACAGCCCCAGAGCTGGCATTGCTGGCGCCTGGTGCAGGGCAATACGGCTGGGGGGCTGCAGAGGGGGGCACAGCTCTGGAGGCTGTTGAGGCGAGACACAATCCCCGGCGGGGCCGCCACAGTGCACAACGCGGCGCACGGGCGCTCGCCGCCAGCTGCACCCGCCGCCACTGCCACGTAGGGTGACTGTCCCCAGACGGATTTTAAAGCCCTCAGACTGCAGTGCCTCATATTAGTCTCGGTTCTTTACAACCTGACAGAAAAACAAAATAAAAGTGAGAGGGGGAAAACAAAGAAAAGGACCTAAAAGAAGGACTCGCTTTATCTCCCTGGAAGTCGGATAAAATGCTGTCGCCAGGGGAGAGCACACATTGCCATGGTAACCTGCTCTAACCCGCTGCAGTGGGTATTCCTGGGCTAGGGAGATGACACCGGAGGTCGCGCATCCGTGCGCCCTGCCTGGACTGCGATCCTCCGCGTAGGGAGGCCGGCCGGCAGCCCGGCCGGCATCGCGTGGTGTTGCACAGGCAACCTGGGCGGGAGGCCCACAGGCACCATGGCAGGAGCTGCCCACGCACGGCTCCCGCTGCCCCGCTCCAGCTGAACCCCCGAGCCTTTGGGTGTCCCACAGAGCCTCTGCTCCGCAAGCACAGGTCATTCACGCCACCTCTTCACCCCCATCTAGCCCCAGCTGGGTTCTTGCACTGACCCGCAGGAACCCAATGCCTGGTCTTTAATCTGAGCTTGGAGTGGCACAGGCCCCCCCTGACATGCCAGAGGCAAAGAGACAGGGCTGTTCTCGCATGACCTCCCTCTACTACAGGGATGCAGTGGACAAGGAGGATGTTCTTCGGGGAGGAGAAGACCACGCTGCCCTGGAGGAAGGGCTGGGAAAAGCAGCCTGCCCACAAGCGTGCGCGCACGCCATGCCCCTCACCACCAGCACTCTGTGTGCCCGAAGGAGGAGGAGGAGGACAAGCAGGGCTAGCGGGATGTGAGGAGGAAGGACTCTCTCCCCATGTACTGTATAGCCACTCAACCATCCATCTGCTGCAACCGTAGCCCGCGCTGAAGGGCAGAACTGGTGCACTGCAGACTCCTTATGTGTGTTACTGCTGCTCCACATTCCCAGCAACCGGGACTAGAGTAACTGCTGGATCCAAACCTCTCCCCAACCCCCCTCTCAGGGGAACTTCTCTCTTTACCATACTGGACTTGGCAATCATACTTGAAATGGGACTTGACTCAGAGCGGTATATTTATAGATATATATTTTACTTGCATCAAATAATGGTGAAACATTGCACAAAATAATTGGTGTGTCTGTGTGTGTGCGTGTGCGTGAGAGAGAGTGAGAATCAGAGAGAGGATGAGAACGTTTTTAAGAGGATAGAAGGGATAAAGTAATCGGAGGGAGGCATGGGACGATGTGAGGAGGCAATACCCATTCCCTGCACCTCCCCTGTGACCTCCTCTTTCCCCCCCGGCCATTTTCCTTTGTTGCTAATAATATTTTTCCACACCTTGTGCTGTGAGGCTGTTGATGACCTTGCCCAACCTTTCCTCTTTGTTTTCAGTTATAAGGCAGAAAGTCTGGATTCACCTCAACCCTAGACAAGGGACTGCTATGTTTAGAAACCCACCCAAGAAAGGGGAAGTCAGGAAAAGGGAGGAAAGAGGGTTGCTGAGAAACTCAAAGGCTGGATGCTATGGCAAGCCCCCCTGGAAAGCAAACGAATGCTTTGAAGGACAAGGTGCTGTCCTCTTTCACGCAGACAAGATGTTCACTGGGAAGCGCCCTTGCTACCGCCCTGCTTGCTAACAGGCTCTTTGCTCCCTGGCACACCTGGCAAGCTGCTCGAGGCGGGCTCAGCCTTAGCACGGCCAGCAGGCACCTCTGGCGCCGAGCGGGGCCCTGCGTGACGCTCTCCTGCGGGATGCTCCCTGCAGCAGAGCGGGTGCGCCTGCCGCGTGGGAAGGGGCTCCTCTGGCGTGGGAGACTCCCCTCTCCCCACGGGCTCGACCTGGCCGGAGGGTCCCATAAACCCCCCTTGTTGCGGGCAGGAGCAGCCGCCGCGGGCACGGGGCTGCCCGCAGGAAGCGCCCTGGGGCGGCAGGCCCAAGCGCCCCAGCAGGCCCATGCGGCCCGTGGGTCAGGCAGGCCCACAAAAACAGCCCTCCTGCCCCCCTCTCCCCTCCCCACAGCCTACCTGTGGTGCAGGCAGGCACCCTTCCCGCAGGGAACAGATGGCACTTGGAATTTCTTTTTCTTTTTTTACTGTTTTTGAGGGAGAGCAACAGGATTTTCTAAAACAACTGAATGAAGGTTTCTTTGGCATGAGACAGAAGATTTTTAAAGGTATATTATATTTCTGGCTTGTTGTTACAGAAGAATAATAAAGAATGTATTTTCCTATGTTCCTCATTGCTTAAATGAGCTCTCTGGTAGGAGTCACCCTTCTCCCCCATCCCCTGCAACAGCAAATGCTGCAAACATCATGGCCAGATAAAGAAAAACCAGCAAATTTCCACGTATGTGCACACTTGTCTGCACATGGTGCTTCGGCTTGGACGGAACACACGCATCTACACCGGCCCATCCCATCAGTGCAAGTCCTAGGCTCGCGTGTGGCTGTAGCCGGGATGGGGCTGTAGGACAAGAGATACAGGGAGACAAGGTGAGACACTAGATTTGCAAGCACATGCACACACGTACAGACATGCACATACACATGTGTGCACACACGCACACACACACGCACACACACAGGCGCGCACACACACCCGTACGCACACCTGCACGCACACCCGTACGCACACCTGCACACACACACGCACGGGGCTCCAGGGACACCGGCAGGCAAGGGCAATTGTGTAACAAGGATAAGAGACTGTGGCAATCAGCTCATTACATAAAAGTCGAAAGGGCCAAATTAATCCCTCGCGTAAGAACACGGAAGCCAATGGAGTTATATTCAGGTCAAATTTGACTCCAAAAGCCTTTTTCATTTTTTAATTAGAGCATAATGTTCAATAACACCTACCGTAACCAGCAGTGAGCTGTGGCTTCTGGCAACTCCAGGTTTCTGGGCATCCTGAGCAGGGTTATGTTAAAATGAATGAAAAATGCTAGACAATCCTACTGCACCCCCAGCGACACGGGCTACCACCCCCCAAGATAAACACCAGCTGTTCACTAGCGAGGTCTCTCACAACACACTTAGTAAGTTGAAATTCCCCACTTCTCCAGGAAGGTGCTATCCATACGCAATTCATCACATAGTCTTCCCATGACAAACCTGCTTCTGAGGTATGTGGAGTGTCCAAAGATGCTGAAACCACCACACGCAAACCTGGTGACACTGTACTCACACCATGACATCCTGCCTGATCTTCACAGAAAAACTGGGGGCAGAACCCACTAATCCTAATCTGATAACAACAGCTGAGGAGTCTGCACTATTGAAAATGTACCACCATGACAGAATCACCATTACTATTATTTAACAGTATG